CATACCTACACCCCCCTCCCCCAACGCCCTCTCGGAATATTTTTTCAGACCGCAGGAATCCGATGAGCTATGAAGCTCTTCTTCGCAGATCTCCAGCCGTTCCACAGATGTCCTCTCCTAACACCCCCCCCACCTCCTCCCCGTAGCTTTCCTCTCAGCGGCAAAGTGAATATCGCGCAAGCGATGGCTCAGGGCTACGGGACTGAGTGCACGGAGATTTGTGAGCGGATGCCACCTTCGTCATCGGCCGCGGTTCAGTCTACCGCTGGATGGGTACGTACTGTACGTACTGTACGTACGTCGCACGGGGCAGGGCTACGAGACGGCACGCGGTGCGCATGGAGACCGGCGGGAGACGTGCAGACTGGGGTATCTGTAGGTGGATCGCCCTGCGGTGTCCCCCTCTAGGGTAACAACAGTGCAGCTCTGCACGGGGGACTCTGCACACTCACACACAGGGACCCCCAGGTGATGGGGGTGGGGGGGGACACGTGCAGTGGTTGGGACCTAGAACTCCGCACTTGCAATCGAGGGGTGGCCAGGTCGGTTTAATCTCCCACCCCCCACAGAGTGTGAGGCAGGTGTAGGAGGGTCCGTAGGTTTCCGTGTTCACATTCAAAATCAGTTTCAAGAGTGGCACAGCCTCGGCTAGTCACGTGGCCTGTTGTTTAAAACTAATTCACAGCTCGGCGCTGTGCGCGTTTTGCTCAGGATGGCTGACTTTTCTGTTTCCACGGGAATGAGAAAATGCATTCTGGCCGGTGTGTGTTCTCTGGTGCCGGCAAAGACTGGATGGGTCTGCAAACACCTTCTCACACACGGTGCACTTGAACGGCTTTTCTCCCGTGTGTGTTCTCTGGTGCCTGTGAAGATCTGATAGCTGTGCAAACGCCTTCTCACACACAGTGCACTTGAACGGCTTCTCTCCCGTGTGTGTTCTCTGGTGGCTGTGAAGATGTTGTAAATGTGCAAATGCCTTCTCACACACGGTGCACTTGAACGGCTTCTCTCCCGTGTGTGTTCTCTGGTGGCTGTGAAGATGTTGTAAATGTGCAAATGCCTTCTCACACACGGTGCACTTGAACGGCTTCTCTCCCGTGTGTGTTCTCTGGTGGCTGTGAAGATGTGATAGCCGTGCAAACGCCTTCTCACACACGGTGCACTTGAACGGCTTCTCTCCCGTGTGTGTTCTCTGGTGCTTCTTCAAGGTACTCTTGTAGTCTGTGCTGTATGGACATTGGTCACACTGATGACTTTTGTTACTGGGCTTAGTGGGGTGTCTGCTCTGCACGTGATACTGTAGACTCGAGCGGCAGATGAACTGACGGTTGCAGGCAGGACACGGCAGCCTTGTGACCTCCACACCCACTCCACCTGCGTCATCCCAGAGGAACAAGACACACGCGCACACACCAACATCTAGACATGAACACTCTTGCACACGTGTGTGTATACACAAAGGTAAAGGTTTCCCACAGCCATATCAGACTGTTGGGCAAGTGCTGTTTGCGAGTACCTATGAAGGCCGGCATGGCACACGAGGGAGTAGGTGGCCAACACCAGGCCCGGCCGCCTTTGTCTCTCCAGTGGCGATGTTTCCACGTTTAAGCTAGGTACTCATTTGAGGCTGAGTCAGCCTAGGGGAGGCCTAAATATTCACCACTGACGTTGGCCGTGAGTGGGAATCGAACTCAGGTGGCCGGGTTCGTAGTGCAGTGGGCTCCATTATATATACACACAAAGACAAAGAACCCCCATATAGCCTGTATATACTTTTGGGACAAGTGCTGTTATGGGCACCAATGAAAGCCAACACGGCACACGAGTGGGAGGGTGGCCAGCACCACACATAGCCGCCTTTGTCTCCCCAGTGGCGATGTTTACTACTACACACCACACCAGTTACTCACTTCCACCTTATCAGTGTGGCTGGTGCCTATCATCTCTGGTGAGTGGTGGCTGTCATCTCTGGTGAGTGGTGGCTACCAACTCTGGTGAGATGTGGCTATCATCTCTGGTGAGTGGTGGCTATCATCTCTAGTGAGTGGTGGCTATCATCTCTGGTGAGTGGTAGCTACATCCACATCTCTGGTGAGATGTCGCTATCATCTCTGGTGAATGGTAGCTATCATCTCTACTGAGTGGTGGCTATCGTCTCTGGTGAGTAGTGGCTATCGTCTCTCGTAAGTGGTGGCTGCCATCTCTGGTGAGTGGTGGCTATCATTTCTGGTGCGTGGTGGCTATCATCTCTGGTGAGTGGTGGCTATCATCTCTGGTGAGTGGTGGCTATCGTCTCTCGTGAGTGGTGGCTATCATCTCTGGTGAGTGGTGGCTATAGTCTGGTGAGCAGTGGTGAGTCTCTGGTGAGCAGTGCTCACGGTGTTCCTCGCTTGGTGGAGGCTGCACGGGCTGCAGGTCTCTGGCGGTGGCCCTAGGAGCCATCTCGCTGCTGCTGCTGCTGCGGCGTCGCGAGGGCCCGGCCTCGCAGGCGATGCCCAGCTCCTGGGCGAACTCCTCGCCGTACCAGACCAGCAGCTCAGAGCCGGGCCCCACGGCACGGAATGTGCGGTAGTAAATCTGCCCCGGTGCTGGAAGGCCACCAGGTTCTGCTCCTGCTCATTCCTCGCGCAGTTGACGAACCTGCGCGGGCAGACGCGGGGGCGGGGTGGGCGCCGTTAGCGAGCGCCTATTAAGGGCCGGCACTGGGCGCTACGTGGGGGTGGTGTGGCTGGAACCACGCTCCGTACCGGTGCTCATTTGATGCCGAGTCGACCAAGGGGAGGCCCAGGGTTGGTCTCTGTGTGTAGTGGGTCTGGTCTCTGTGTGTAGTGGTTCTTGTCTCTGTGTGTGGTGGTTCTGGTCTCTATGTGTAGTGGTTCTGGTCTCTGTGTGTGGTGGTTCTTGTCTCTGTGTGTGGTGGTTCTGGTTTCTGTGTGTGGTGGTTCTGGTCTCTGTGTGTGGTGGTTCTGGTCTCTGTGTGTAGTGGTTCTGGTCTCTGTGTGTGCTGGTTCTTGTCTCTGTGTGTAGTGGTTCTGGTCTCTGTGTGTGCTGGTTCTGGTCTCTGTGTGTAGTGGTTCTGGTCTCTGTGTGTGGTGTTTCTGGTCTCTGTGTGTAGTGGTTCTGGTCTGTGTGTGCTGGTTCTTGTCTCTGTGTGTGGTGGTTCTGGTCTCTGTGTGTAGTGGTTCTGGTTTCTGTGTGTAGTGGTTCTGGTCTCTGTGTGTAGTGGTTCTGGTCTCTGTGTGAAGTGGTTCTTGTCTCTGTGTGTAGTGGTTCTGGTCTCTGTGTGTAGTGGTTCTGGTCTCTGTGTGTAGTGGTTCTGGTCTCTGTGTGTAGTGGTTCTGGTCTCTGTGTGTGGTGGTTCTGGTCTCTGTGTGTGGTGGTTCTGGTCTCTGTGTGTAGTGGTTCTGGTCTCTGTGTAGTGGTCCTTCAGACAATAATCACCTCATCCAGTTTGATTTAGATTCATCCTGAGCATCAACATATTCACGATCCTTTTGTTTTTGTAAATCTGAAACACACACGCACACGAGCGGATCCACGGATAATTAATGTCAGTTGGACTGTAAGTTGAACTTCTTTCGTACCGCACGTAGCCAACCATGCTGATCGGAGGTGCGGGGGAAGGACAACAAACTAAACACTAAAAGCAGTTCTAAAGAAATGCATTTTCAATCTACAAGATTTTAAAGTGCATAGCTCCCAGTGGCTTCCTAACATTGGAAGGAAGAACCTTCCAGACGGCCGCAGAAGTGCATCTGTAAGCGCCGCGCCATGCGGTGACCACCGTCTTTGCTGTGTGTTACAAGTTCAAATAATTACGTTAATTTTTGGGTCTCTCTGTGATTCTGGGGGTCTTTGGGTGAGTCTCTAGGTCTCTGTACGAGTCTCTGGGTCTCTGTGCGAGTCTCTAGGGTATCTGTGCGACTCTGGGTCTCTGTGTGAGACTGTGGGTCTCTGTGCGATTCTCTTGGTCTCTGTGCGAGTCTCTGGGTCTCTGTGTGAGACTGTGGATCTCTCTGTGCGATTCTCTGAGCATCTGTGTGAGTATCTGGGTCTCTCTGTGTGAGTCTCTGGGTCTCTGTGTGAGTCTGTGTGTCCCACTGTGAGTCTCTGGGTCTCTGTTCAAGTCTCTAGGTCTCTGTGCAAGTCTGTGGGTCTCTCTATGCGAGTCTCTGGGTCTCTGTGCAAAGTCTCTGGGTCTCTCTGTGCCAGTCTCTGGGTCTCTGTGTGAGTCTGTGGGTGACTGTGTGAGGCTATGGGTCTCTGTGCGAGTCTATGGGTCTCTGTGTGAATCTATGGGTCTCTGTGCGAGTCTATAGGTCTCTGTGCGAGTCTATGGGTCTCTGTGCGAGTCTATGGGTCTCTGTGTGAGTCTATGGGTTTCTGTGCGAGTCTATGGGTCTCTGTGTGAGTCTATGGGTCTCTGTGAGTCTCTGGGTCTCTCTGTGCCAGTCTCTAGATCTCTGTGTAAGTCTGTGGGTGACTGTGTGAGGCTATGGGTTTCTCTGCATCTCCTTCACGAGCCTCCTCTCCACACACACGATGATGATGTAGGAATAGGAGGAGGCTGCAGCAGTAGCAGCAGCAGCTCACCAGCCAGCAGTACTCGCTCACGGGGTTCTCCTCAGACACCTCTCCCTGGTAGGGCCCAAAAATCACCCCCTTGGGCAGCTTCTTCCTGTTGCTCCACACCCCGAGGCCGGCGCCGGCGATGGAGGAGGCGCCGACGGTGAGGCCCTGGGGCAGGCTGAGCCGGGCCCTGTTGGCCACTCCCGGGGCCACGGCCGCGTCTGCAATGAACTCTGGCGGGCCGTGCACGGAGCACTCCCCCAGGTAGAAATCCCTGCACAGCTCGCAGACTGAGAGCCACAGCAGCAGCAGCAGGAGGAGGGCGAACCGCAGTAGCAACAGCAGCAGCAGCAGTGGCACTGTGAGAGAGTGAGAGGGTGAGGAGCGCTCCAGACAGATGCCTCCTTTCCTCCCTCTCTGCATTGTGAACTTCTTTAGCTCGCTCATCGGAGATGTAAACCCTGTCACCCTCCCTGCTCCCTCCCTGCATCCCTGAGTGAGGGAGCAAAAGACAGGGAGGTAAGTGAGAGTGCGAGAAAGGGAGCGTGTGAGAGGGAGGGAAAGGGAGAGAGAGTGAGAGGGAGCAGGTGGAATATATCGAGTGAGAGCGCGGGAGCAATAGAGAGAGATAGGAGAGAGTGTGAGAAAGTTAGAGTAAGGGGCCGTCCATAAATGACTTCATGCACCTAGGGGGGTGGGGGGGTCAGACATTTGTGACGATGTGTGAGGAACCACAGACAACACGTTCTACTTAATTAAATACTTTTTAATAAATGTTTTCTCCTACAACATCAGACTGCAGTGCCACATTAAATATGCACTACAATGACAATAGTTTGAAGCGATTTTAAGCATATTAAATGAGCTTTGTGACGTCACATTTGAGGGGGGGGTCTGACTTTTTGTGATGTCGTGTGATGGGGGGGAGGGGGGTCCAAAATCGCGTGACGCCATTAATGGACGGCCCTAAGAGAGTGTGAGAAAGTGACAGTGTGAGAGAGAGTGTGAGAAAGTGACAGTGTGAGAGAGAGTGTGAGAAAGTGACAGTGTGAGAGAGAGTGTGAGAAAGTGACAGTGTGAGAGAGAGTGTGAGAAAGTGACAGTGTGAGAGAGAGTGTGAGAAAGTGACAGTGTGAGAGAGAGTGTGAGAAAGTGACAGTGTGAGAGAGAGTGTGAGAAAGTGACAGTGTGAGAGAGAGTGTGAGAAAGTGACAGTGTGAGAGAGAGTGTGAGAAAGTGACAGTGTGAGAGAGAGTGTGAGAAAGTGACAGTGTGAGAGAGAGTGTGAGAAAGTGACAGTGTGAGAGAGAGAGTGAGAAAGTGACAGTGTGAGAGAGAGTGTGAGAAAGTGACAGTGTGAGAGAGAGTGTGAGAAAGTGACAGTGAGAGAGAGAGAGTGAGAAAGTGACGGTGTGAGAGAGAGTGTGAGAAAGTGACAGTGAGAGAGAGTGTGAGAAAGTGACAGTGGAGAGAGAGTGTGAGAAAGTGACAGTGTGAGAGAGAGAGTGAGAAAGTGAGAGAGAGAGTGAGAGGGAGCAGGGGGTCTCACAGAAGAAGTCGTCGTCCTGGGGCTCCTCCACCTCTGTGTAGACTTTCCTCTCGCGCGGGCGCAGGCCGTAGCGAGAGCGAGCGCTGCGCGACACCGCCACAGCCTGGGCGGAGGCCGGCGGCACGGAGGAGCCTGCAGGCAAACACGGCGAGATGTTGACTACCTCTCGTGGTATACGGGAGGTCGTGGGTTCCATCCCGACCCTGACGAAGCCTGCTGTATATTTGGAGTCTGCGTGTCTCTCTCTCCTCCGTGGCGAGATGTTAACTCCCTCGCATGGTCTACAGGAGGTCGTGGGTTCCATCCCGACTGTATAGTTTACAACATGTTACCCTATTTGTATTTTTGTATTTTTAGATTGTATATTATGGCTAGTTTACATTTTATATTGTACACTTATTCACAATTTTACATACTTTAGCCCCTTAGTATTAGTTAGACTTTGTAATTTTAGTATAGTTTGACTGTATACCACTCATTTCAGTTTTAAGATTCCTACATGTTGAATGTATGCACCTTCCGGCCATAGTAAATTCCTTGTCTGTGCAAACTTTCATGGCGAATACCTCCCCGTGGTTGCGTGGATTTTTCTCCGGGTCCTTCGTTTTTTTCCCTCGACATATAGAACCAACGTCATGCGTTGAGAATATTTGGCTGCTATAAATGTCCACGTAATGACGATGATGACAAGTCACTTCGTTGAGCTCTTATTTGTGATAGCCAGTCGCTTCTGAAAAACAGCTACACAGCTCAGTGGGGCACACCCTGGTTGCTAATCCTGCATAATGCACGGGCATATGTAGTATTAATCACATACCTGCATTTCCCATATCCCCTCCCTTTGATGCTGCTAGTCCTGCATAATGCACGGGCATAAGTAGTACTAATCACATACCTGCATTTCCCATATCCCCTCCCTTTGATGCTGCTAATCCTGCATAATGCACGGGCATGAGTAGTACTAATCACATACCTGCATTTCCCATAAATATGCTAAATGCCTCTTGATATGCATATTCTTTTGTCAAGGCGCTCTTTCCCCCCCTTCCAACCCAGCTTATATATGCTCCAAGCACGTGTGCTGTATCATTCAGACGCTGTCGCCTCGACAGACCTGGTTTTCACCTGAGGACGGCTGCTTGCGTTGTGGCCGAAACGTCGTGAGAATTGTTTTGTTATGTTTTATTTTATTATTTTATTACTTCCCTTCTACGTGACTTTACCGAAAGAACCAATAAGAAAAATAAACATCGTTTAGTTCATAGGCTGCATCAGTACCAGCAGCAGCCCTGACAGGAGCACATGTAGCAGTAGCATCAACAGCAGTGGCGACTTCCATCAGCACTAACAGAAGATTGCGGAGTTCCGGTGAGAATAGAGGGGAGCGTGGAGTTCCGGTGAGAATAGAGGGGAGTGTGGAGTTCCGGTGGGAATAGAGGGGAGTGTGGAGTTCCGGTGGGAATAGAGGGGAGTGTGGAGTTCTGGTGAGAATAGAGGGGAGTGTGGAGTTCTGGTGGGTATAGAGGGGAGTGTAGAATTCCGGTGAGAATAGAGGGGAGTGTGGGGTTCCGGTGAGAATAGAGGGGAGCGTGGAGTTCTGGTGAGAATAGAGGGGAGTGTGGAGTTCCGGTGAGAATAGAGGGGAGTGTGGAGTTGCGGTGGGAATAGAAATCACCGCTGCAGGCTACGCACCTCCACGTATCCTCTGGAGCGCCACCCTCAGGGCCTTTGCAGGCGGTGGCTCTGCGCTCCAGCCTGAACATCGCCATCCTGGCCTTGTGCACCTCCCTCAGCTCAAATCCCCTGAACTCCTCCTCCTGCTGCTCCTCCTCCTCCACGCCCTGCAAGATGCTCCACACGTACTCCAGGGCTTCCGCTTTAGTCTGAGCGGAGGGGGCGGTGGGGTGAGGGGGCGGAGGGGGTGTGGGGGCGGAGTTGGTGCGGTGACCAGCGGTGGCTAGGAGATGTTAACTCCCTCGCCTGGTACGCAGGAGGTCGCGGGTTCCATCTCGACCCTGACACCTCATCGGATTCCTCCAGTACAATACATATTTTAATTCTGATATTCTGAATCTGTAAATCTGATTCCATACATCAAGCAGAACCATGCCGTCATGCTGAACCTCGGTGGGTATGGCAGGCCATGCCTCTTCACAACTCAACTAATTAATAAACTAATTATAATAATGTAGTGGACACCGTGACGACAGAGACAGTTGAAGTAGAGGCAACCCATATTTATTAACTCTGAGCCCGTTACAGCTTCACACTTGAAGAGGTAACGGCCTCTTCACCCGTTCTCTCAAGGGAGCTAACTCCCCAAGCTAACTCACCGACTCCCCACCAATACTACGACCCTCCTCTCAAGGAGACTACCTGACCTGGCCCAGCCAAGGCACAGGTCCCGACCACCAGCCACACGAATCCGGCCCTTACAAGGACATCAGCCTTCGCGCTCTGGGGTCGCACCACTGGCTTGCTCTGCCCGGCCTTTAGAAGGACAGCGGGTCAGAGGAGTCCCAGGGTCTAGCTAGCTGGACTTCAGCTGGTTCTTCGTCCTTGGCTTGTTCGAACTAACTCTCTCCTCTCAGAGTCTCGCCTTTTATACGATTCCCCACTGAGGGGCGGGGTTCTGTGGGATCACACACACCCCACAGCCCCCTCCCCTCGGGAGGGGCCCCGGCTAGGGATATCACAACCGCCCCGCACAGGTAAGTAATGGGAGTTAACCGGAGCTGGTGTGCGCGCGTTCCAATACCACCACCACCACAATAATGACGCACGTCTCTGGTATAATTATATAGAAATTACTTTTATAACACAGACCAGTGGAACATTTTTTTGTACTTTTCGTAACAGCTATTTTCATTGGAGTATATGACAGGTGAGGCTCTGCCTCGCCCGTCTCCCCTGACCGCACGTCCCTGGTATAGCAGTGTCTAGTAGTATGTATGTACGTTGAATGTCTTTGTCACCGTACGTAGCCAACCTCGCTAATGGGAGGTGCGGGGGAAGGACAACAAACTAAAGACAACAGCAGCAGCAGCTGTAACGAGAGGAGTGCCGTGCGCTGTGCACAGAGACCTTGCGCTTGCTGGAAGCTGCCCTCGCGTGAGACTCTCCCACGGTGGCCCAGCGTGAAGCAGCCCCCTTGCCTCCTCCTGCGTGAACACACGCACACACGTGAACACACGCACACACGTGAACACACGCACACACGTGAACACACGCACACACGTGAACACACGTGTGAACACACGGACACGCATGAACATATGCAAGGACAAAGCTCCCCCGTATAGCCTTAACAGACTGTAGGGGCAAGTGCTGTTAGTGAGCACCTATGAAGGCCAGAACGGTACACGAGGGGGTGGGTGGCCAGCACCACGCCCGACCGTCTTTGTCTCCCCAGTGGTGATGTTTACACACCGCACCAGGTACTCAGTTGAGGCTGAGCCGACATAGGGGAGGCACAGGACCGGTTCAAATAATCGTCACTGGTGTTGACCGTGAGCGGGAATCGAACCCGGGTCGCCGGGTTCATAGCGCAGCGCGCTAACCGCTACACTACCGCTCCCCATATGCACACGCGTTAACACACGCACACACGTGTGAACACACGGAAATGCATTAACACACACACACGTGTGAACACACCCACACGCGTATTTACGCATGCAAACATTTACTCACTCACATATTTACCAAAAAGTCAATGATCTCCCCTGTGCCGCCTTAACAGACTGTTGTCACAGGACAGAACCAGGTGCCATGCCATGGGTTGACTGTTGTGCCAGGCTAGGTGCAGGTCACGAGACGGACCCTGCAGGTGCCATAGGTTTACTGAGATGACTGCCAGATGCACCACCTGTGCCCGCGACTGTGCCAACTCGGTCCACAATTAAAAAGATGCCCCGTGTAGCCTTCACAGACTGTTGCGGTCAAGTGCTGTCAGCAAGCAGCATCTACGAAGGCCAGCACGGCACACGGGGGGATGGGCAGCTAGCAACACGCCCGACCGTCTTTGTCTCCCCAGTTGTGATGTTTACTACACACCACTGCACCGGGTACTCATTTTGACGCTGAGTCAACCTAGGGGAGGCTCAGGACCGGTTCGGATCGTCGTCACTGGTGTTGGCCGTGAGCGGGCATTTAACTTGGTTCCGCTGGTGATTACAACCAGCTTCATCAAGCGAGTCTACAGGGGTCTCTGCGTGAGTCTACAGGGGGTCTCTGTGTGAGTCTACAGGGGTCTCTGCGTGAGTCTACAGGGGGTCTCTGTGAGTCTACAGGGGTCTCTGTGTGAGTCTACAGGGGTCTTTGTGTGAGTCTTCAGGGGGTCTCTGTGTGAGTCTACAGGGGGTTTCTGTGTGAGTCTACAGGGGTCTCTGCGTGAGTCTACAGGGGGTCTCTGTGTGAGTCTACAGGGGGTTTCTGTGTGAGTCTACAGGGGGTCTCTGTGTGAGTCTACAGGGGGTCTCTGTGTGAGTCTACAGGGGTCTATGTGAGTCTACAGGGGGTCTCTGTGTGAGTCTACAGGGGTCTCTGCGTGAGTCTACAGGGGGTCTCTGTGTGAGTCTACAGGGGGTCTCTGTGTGAGTCTACAGGGGGTCTCTGCGTGAGTCTACAGGGGATCTCTGCATGAGTCTACAGGGGGTCTCTGCGTAAGTCTACAGGGGTCTCTGTGTGAGTCTACAGGGGTCTCTGCGTGAGTCTACAGGGGTCA